TCCTAATATTTTATCAAACTTGAGAGATTTTGAATACAGACAAATGCTTGTGAGTAAATGTATTCTTCCTGTATTAAATAAGTTATGTTTATGAATACTGATTGTAAAATTATTATTTAAAAAGTAGGCTTAAATTCCTTTAATTTAGGATGAAGAAGCATTGAATAGTCATAGAAATTAAAATTTCTTGATTGAAGCAACTTTTATGTAATGAGTATATTTTGTAATGCGAGCACCTGGGTAGTAGTGTTTGTAGAGTATCCTTGAAATAGTCGTTCTTACCCCTTTTACCTTATCCTTTACTAATATACCTTTCCTATATACCATATCAGATAGGCTTAGTAAATTCAAGTTGATTTTATATCCCTTGATAGAGATCCTCTACTTACGTACGGGACAACTTGCTCATCTTGAGTCAAATCAGAAAAATGCTTTGCTATTTTTTTACTGTTACTTTTTAGGTAAATCTTGAATCAAAGACTGTGGAGATAGAGAAAAACGAATGTATTTTGCATAAAAACTTTATTAAGAAATTTAAAGAAAGTCACTGTGCTTTCCAAATATCTCTCCCATATGTATTTGGCAAAATACAGCTTGTAGACTACCCTGTTGAATTTCTACCAGACAAGGAACCATTCTGAGCTCTATCTTGCTAATTATGTGGGAGAGGATTTTGTCTTTTCCTATAGTCCTGAAGGTGTAGAGACCTTGGTATTAATGGATTTTTGTCAGTGTTGAGGGTTTAGGTTCAAGAATTATCTCATTTCATTATCATTAACTTGATGTGATTCAGTATGTTGATATTTAATACATCAGTTTGAAATCTAGACTTGTAGTTTTTATTAAACATATTTGATTATTCACCAGTAATGTCTAGCATTTTTTTTTATGTGCATAGTTAATCATACACTGCCCTTATGATATTACACAGATTATGCTACTATATGTAAGGAACTTATAAGCTGTTACCACTAATTTTTTCATTAATACAACCATTTGTTACAGTCCTATGAAGGCTCCCTACACCACTTTGCTGAGATTTGATATGATGCTCGTATCTTGAACAAAGGGCATTTTAATGTTAATTCATGTACCCCTTTCAGATCATGCAATAGACCTATGAGACAGTTAAACATCCATTTAGCTAACTTAGTCTTTCATAGTTTGTACCAGTAGTTATAATTTTTATTTAATCCTAAGATAAAATAATTATTTATTTATTTATTTATTTATTTTTTTTTTTTTGTGTGTGTGTGTGTGTGTGTGTGTGTGTGTGTGTGTGTGTGTGTGTGTGTGTGTGTGTGTGTGTGTGTGTGTGTGTGTGTGTGTGTGTGTGTGTGAGTGAGTGTGTATGTGTCTTTGTGTGTGTGTGGCTGTGTGTGTGTGTGTGTGTGTGTGTGTGTGTGTGTGTGTGTGTGTGTGTGTGTGTGTGTGTGTGTGTGTGTGTGTGTGTGTGTGTGTATAGCTGTGGCTGTGTCTGTGTGAGTGTCTATGTTTATGTGCATGCATGCTCACGTGGGTGAGTGTGTGTGTGTGTGTGTTTGTGTGTGGACGTGTACCAAGTTTATAAAACTTTTCAGAAGTTGTTACTGTTCATTGTGTTTTTTATTTTGTTTTTTTTTCTACTCGTGAATGAAAGTGCGTGGTTCTCTTTCTTTGTTTTTTCTCTTTTGTATAGCATTAAGAAATGGTTGTATCTCATTACAGAAGTTAAGTTCTTTTTTAGTTTAGGTGAATCTTATTAGCTCTGTATTGGAATATTGTATGAGCAAAAAAGTATGTAGTCCATAAAATGGAATACGAAATACAGTGCCTAAAATTATTTTCTTTATGTCATACAGTTTTTGATAGATATCTTTCTTATAGTCAGTATTTATTATGCATTTGATAAGCATTAGAATAATGTAAGAAGATTGAAGATTAGGAAAATATTAATTATTTTCTATTTTGTCTTTAATGATAAAGCTTTTTCTTGAGTTAGTCTGGAGTCTTTTAAAAAAATATTGTCCAACATTATCTTCATTGCCAGTTTTTACAGAGAAGTAGTAGGTGATATTATTAAATATATTAATGAAGCTGTAGAAAAGTGACATCATATTCTCATTCTTGCATTTGATTTACACAAATGTGTGATAAAAACCTCCCTTTTACTCAAAGAAATAATGATAAAGTGGACAGATGCTGAGGAACACATAGCTTTGACCCACAGATTTGATAGGTCCCCCCCCCCATATGCTAGGAATAGTTGAGGTCTTAATCAATATTAGCACCAGAGAGGATTAAACTCCCAGCAGCAGCTATTGAGCACACATCTTTAACTTTTTGTACTTGGATGACTTAAGTATTTAGAGCTAAATGGCTTTTCACAAGTTTGTATGTTTTTTTTCCACAAATAGCTATTTTCTACTTTTTGATGCAGCTAGTGTAAAGATCTTCACACTTCACGTATATACTATATTCTAATTTATTACATGATGAAGCAATGTAATTCAGTCACAAAATCCAGTAATTTAAAAATCTTTTCAAATTTTTTTTTTTTTTCTACTCGTGAATGAAAGTGCGTGGTTCTCTTTCTTTGTTTTTTCTCTTTTGTATAGCATTAAGAAATGGTTGTATCTCATTACAGAAGTTAAGTTCTTTTTTAGTTTAGGTGAATCTTATTAGCTCTGTATTGGAATATTGTATGAGCAAAAAAGTATGTAGTCCATAAAATGGAATACGAAATACAGTGCCTAAAATTATTTTCTTTATGTCATACAGTTTTTGATAGATGTCTTTCTTATAGTCAGTATTTATTATGCATTTGATAAGCATTAGAATAATGTAAGAAGATTGAAGATTAGGAAAATATTAATTATTTTCTATTTTGTCTTTAATGATAAAGCTCTTTCTTGAGTTAGTCTTGAGTCTTTTAAAAAAATATTGTCCAACATTATCTTCATTGCCAGTTTTTACAGAGAAGTAGGTGATATTATTAAATATATTAATGAAGCTGTAGAAAAGTGACATCATATTCTCATTCTTGCATTTGATTTACACAAATGTGTGATAAAAACCTCCCTTTTACTCAAAGAAATAATGATAAAGTGGACAGATGCTGAGGAACACATAGCTTTGACCCACAGATTTCATAGGGCCCCCCCCATATGCTAGGAATAGTTGAGGTCTTAATCAATATTAGCACCAGAGAGGATTAAACTCCCAGCAGCAGCTATTGAGCACACATCTTTAACTTTTTGTACTTGGATGACTTAAGTATTTAGAGCTGAAATGGCTTTTCACAAGTTTGTATGTTTTTTTTTCCACAAATAGCTATTTTCTACTTTTTGATGCAGCTAGTGTAAAGATCTTCGGACTTCACGTATATACTATATTCTAATTTATTACATGATGAAGCAATGTAATTCAGTCACAAAATCCAGTAATTTAAAAATCTTTTCAATTTTTTCTTTAAAGTAAGCATTTATTGTTAACAGAATCTTATCACAGAGTATTTTTTAGGAAGTACTGAACCTCATGAATATCTTGTGAATAAATGCAAGAGATTCTCTCTCTAGAAGAAAAGAGACATAAGTAACTTGGAAGATTATTCCAATTTATGTTTTTTTATTTCTGTATTATTATTGCATATCTTATTAGATTTTAGCATGTGTTGCATGAATTTGTCTTAACTTTTTAATATGTATTCATTTATCATGCACAGAACCAATTTTTTAAATCAAATTTTATTGATAATCTTTGAAAATAGCATTTGAGAATGAGTATGTTATATTGATTTTATATCCTTGATTTTTCATCATATTTTATTACTTCTTCAGTTATATTTCTTGATCAAGGCATGATAGAATTTATAGAAACTATAACCATATTTTACATTTACAGAAAGTAACAATGTCACTCACTGTTGTTATTTTAATTCTTTTGAGCATTGAAAGGTTTACATATTACTTATAACGTTATTACACACTTGGCTTCCAGTTGTTTGAAATAGAATTAAGAAATCTTTAACATTATTTAAAAAAAATATAAGATAAAATATACCATAAATTAAATTTTAAATCAGTGTAAACAGATTTAATGACCTTTTAAAATAAAAGTCTTAAAGCTAACAAAATCCACATAAAAGAAGCTAAGACAAATCTCGGACTCTTGCATAATATTACCGTTTCCTATTTCCAGGTAGCGCAGCAGCCAAACAGCCTACTTCTACCAAAGTTCAAGACAGGCCAATCTGCTGGATGCGATCACCACTATGCTTATGCCAGCGAGCATGGAGATCTTTTGTGAGCACAAACAAAATTGTGTATGTCAAGAGAGTTGTGGAGTTCCTGACAAGCTTGGCTCCACTGACGACACTTGCAATCATATCGTTTCTGTGTTATTATTCACATCAGGTATTGATATTTGGGTTTACTTTATTTTGTTGGAATATTTATTTTCCTAGTAATGTACCATATCTACCTTAATGTATGCATACATGCCATATATTGGTAAAGAGAAAGATAAGGCAGTGCATAGTTTGGTGGCTATATATTATACTATGTATACACACACACACACATACATACATACATATATATATACATACATATATATATATATATGTGTGTGTGTGTGTTGTGTGTGTGTGTGTGTGTATGATATACAGTATATGCAAAATTAGCAAAACTTTTTTTGCACACTTTTGCTATTAGGGGTAAAGATCAAGTAGTATACATTATGTTTCCTCTGTCCACAGCTCCTGGAAGCTAACAACACGAATACAGTTGTGGTATATTTCTTCTGCATTGAATTGTTTGGCAATTGGCTCTTATTTTTTTTCAACAAAAGTTATATTGACAAGTCATCAGGAAACAGGTCAGTGTGCTGTTGTTATTTCCAACACTAATTATTTGATAACTAGTGTATTTACAAGAATCACATGAAAGAGAGATGTTTCCATTTTCTGTCCTATATTCACTAGAACCTTAGTATTTTTATTGATGATGTAAAGTAAACAATTGTTAATGCTTGGACTATAATTTTTAGAATGAAAGTTTGAAAGGAGTGTAAAATGCTTTTGATTCAAATCACACTTGACTGTCACCATACTTGCAGTGAGCTAGCACCTGGTTTATCACACGATGATTGCAAACAGCTGCGCTACTGTCCAACTTGCAAAATATATAAACCAGAGAGAAGCCACCACTGCTCGCTCTGTGATCGCTGCATCCACCAGCGAGATCACCATTGCTTCTTCCTCGGAACTTGCGTGGGAGGCTACAATTTATGTTACTTTATATTCTTCTGTTTTTATGCTTGTATTGGGTATGTATAAAATCACTGCATGATTGTTTTTTTAAACAAAAATTGTTTTATTGATAATCTTTGAAAATAGCATTTGAGAATGAGTATGTTATATTGATTTTATATCCTTGATTTTTCATCATATTTTATTACTTCTTCAGTTATATTTCTTGATCAAGGCATGATAGAATTTATAGAAACTATAACCATATTTTACATTTACAGAAAGTAACAATGTCACTCACTGTTGTTATTTTAATTCTTTTGAGCATTGAAAGGTTTACATATTACTTATAACGTTATTACACACTTGGCTTCCAGTTGTCTGAAATAGAATTAAGAAATCTTTAACATTATTTTAAAAAATATAAAATAAAATATACCATAAATTAAATTTTAAATCAGTGTAAACGGATTTAATGACCTTTTAAAATAAAAGTCTTAAAGCTAAAAAAATCCACATAAAAGAAGCTAAGACAAATCTCGGACTCTTGCATAATATTACCGTTTCCTATTTCCAGGTAGCGCAGCAGCCAAACAGCCTACTTCTACCAAAGTTCAAGACAGGCCAATCTGCTGGATGCGATCACCACTATGCTTATGCCAGCGAGCATGGAGATCTTTTGTGAGCACAAACAAAATTGTGTATGTCAAGAGAGTTGTGGAGTTCCTGACAAGCTTGGCTCCACTGACGACACTTGCAATCATATCGTTTCTGTGTTATTATTCACATCAGGTATTGATATTTGGGTTTACTTTATTTTGTTGGAATATTTATTTTCCTAGTAATGTACCATATCTACCTTAATGTATGCATACATGCCATATATTGGTAAAGAGAAAGATAAGGCAGTGCATAGTTTGGTGGCTATATATTATACTATGTATACACACACACACACATACATACATACATACATACATACATACATACATACATACATACATATATATACATATATATACATATATACATATATATAAATATAAGTATATATATATGTGTGTGTGTGTGTGTGTGTGTGTGTGTGTGTGTGTGTGTGTGTGTGTATGATATACAGTATATGCAAAATTAGCAAAACTTTTTTTGCACACTTTTGCTATTAGGGGTAAAGATCAAGTAGTATACATTATGTTTCCTCTGTCCACAGCTCCTGGAAGCTAACAACACGAATACAGTTGTGGTATATTTCTTCTGCATTGAATTGTTTGGCAATTGGCTCTTATTTTTTTTCAACAAAAGTTATATTGACAAGTCATCAGGAAACAGGTCAGTGTGCTGTTGTTATTTCCAACACTAATTATTTGATAACTAGTGTATTTACAAGAATCACATGAAAGAGAGATGTTTCCATTTTCTGTCCTATATTCACTAGAACCTTAGTATTTTTATTGATGATGTAAAGTAAACAATTGTTAATGCTTGGACTATAATTTTTAGAATGAAAGTTTGAAAGGAGTGTAAAATGGTTTTGATTCAAATCACACTTGACTGTCACCATACTTGCAGTGAGCTAGCACCTGGTTTATCACACGATGATTGCAAACAGCTGCGCTACTGTCCAACTTGCAAAATATATAAACCTGAGAGAAGCCACCACTGCTCGCTCTGTGATCGCTGCATCCACCAGCGAGATCACCATTGCTTCTTCCTCGGAACTTGCGTGGGAGGCTACAATTTATGTTACTTTATATTCTTCTGTTTTTATGCTTGTATTGGGTATGTATAAAATCACTGCATGATTGTTTTTTTAAAAATGTGTTATAAGAATTAGGTCAAGTGTTATATGGATATATATGTATTTAGATGTATAAATATGTATGTATGTATATGTATGTATATATATATATATATATATATATATATATATATATATATATATATATATATATATATATATGTATATATATATATATATATATATATTATATATATATATATATATATATATATATATATATATATATATATATATATATATATATATATATATATATATATATATATATATATATATATATATATATATATATATATATATATATATATATATATATATATATATATATATATATATATATATATATATATATATATATATATATATATATATATATATATATATATATATATATATATATATATATATATATATATATATATATATATATCACACACACCACACACACACACACCACACACACACACACACACACACACACACACACACCACACACACACACACACACACACACACACACACACACACCACACACACACACACACACCACACACACACACACACACACACACACACACACACACACACACCACACACACACACACACACACCACACACACACACACCACACACACACACACACACACACACCACACACACACACACACACACACCACACACACACACACACACACACACACACACACACCACACACACACACACCACACACACACACACACACACACACCACACACACACACACACACACACACACACACACACACACCACACACACACACACCACACACACACACACACACACCACACACACACACACACACACACACACACCACACACACACACACACACACCACACACACACACACACACACACCACACACACACACACCACACACACACACACACAATATATATATATATATATATATATATATATATATATATATATATATATATATATATATATATATATATATATATATATATATATATATATATATATATATATATATATATATATATATATATATATATATATATATATATGTATGTATATGAATGGTGAAAACACTTTACTGTGTTGATACTATGGTAGAAAAACCCACAATGTAAAAGTTTTACATTGTGGGTTTTTCTACCATGTATGTGTATATACATGTATGTATGTATACATGTATGTATATATATGTATGTATATGTATGTATGTATGTATGTTTGTATGTATACATAAATATTGGCATTCCATATGGGCTGTTAACCCATTTGCGCCGGGTGTCACGTATACGTGACTTGCCCATTGCGAGTTTACTTTTTTGATTATTTTACACATAGATGGCCACACTTGTTGCAAGTACTGCCTGTCTTGCCCGTTTACCCTTTTCTTTAATTTACGAAAATATTTTATGTTATCTTATTTTGCTGTTACTAATGTTTATAACATTATAGTAATTATAATGTTTATAATAAAAATAACCATCGATATTGATAGCAGTAGTAAAAAATACATTTTCCTGCCAAATGAAATCAGGTAAGCAGAGCCATCTACGTGTAGAGAAATTTCACAAAAAGTGTAAAAAATGAGCACAGCATTTTCCCCATTTTTTGTTCATTTTTACCTGTCGCGAATGGGTTAAGGAATGCTCTATGAAATTTGTTATTTCCTTGGTTTAGTTGCTTAATCCTTTTAATATAACTCTCAGGCTAATAGTTATTAATGATAAGTAAATGTTTAGAGCCATTCTAATGCCACATCACTCAATAAACATTTTAAAGGTATAGAAGAAAGCTCCATTATAAACAACCTTTCTCACTGCCAATCAGACAAACCAGGATGGTGTATAAGTCAATTAGTCAGGTGCATATAGTGCTAATACACCAGCAGCACATACCATATTTTTCATCATATAAGTTGAATTTTTATACCCTGTAAAATTGGCCAAAAAATTACTTGCATCCTGTGATGTGCTGGTATCTTTGGACAAGGCGAGTGAATGGCAAAGGTTCAACCATTCTGATTTCCTTTACCTGATATCTTGTGAAATCAATTACATGAATAATTTATTTAACTTACAAGCTATGAGATTTAGAGGGAAGACTAAACTAAACATTAACTAATTTGTATCTGTGTTTTTGTGGGGACTCTGTGTATAATTAATGACAGATCTGAGGGAGATAAGCAATGATACTTCCCCTAATTGTATATAAAGACAGATATGTTGCAGAAATAATATCTTGTGGGAGCAGAAAAATTTGGGACACATTTCCACAGTAGACATTGTGTTTTTTTTTCCCCAAATAATCTTTGCTAAAAAGACAGTACAGCCCGAGACATTCAGTGTCTTATATGGTGCAAACATATATATGACAGTATTCCTTAATTGTGAAAGGGTCACTTTGTTTTTGCCATAATTTGCTCTCAACCTATCATTCATATTTTGATGACCACCTAAATTTGGGTATGTGTGTGTTTGAAGCTCTGGCAGTGACATCAGAAGTATTTCTAATCTTTATGTGGGTTTGGAACTACTGATACCTGCTATTGATAGGTTGATGACTATCAAATAGGGATTCTGTCATTCATGAAAAGTGATGTTATTGAAGATATGAAGACTGAAAAGATTCTTGTTTCATAGCAAATTGGTTGTATGCATGAAAGATAGGTATTTAATTTTTCTGTTCATGTTAACAAAAGCTTGAATACGGCCATTGCTGCTTTTTATTTCTTTCATATCGATTATTGGAAATAGACGTGCAAAAGCCATTATTGGTTAAATATCAGATATCAGCCATTAACAGAGATAATTTTATCCCACATGCCATGTCCACTATGATTTTAGTTTGTGTTTTTGTAGGTAGCTTCACAAGTGTTTAGTGACCAAAGAGTTAGATATTAGTCTTACCAATGTCACACTTTTAACCTTTTCCCTGATTTCTGGATTCATTTTTAT